GAAGATGCCAATAAAAACATCAAGAAGATCATCCAGAAAATGGTGAATACATATAAAGATTGGCACAAAATGCTTCCCTTCGTGCTACATGGCTATCGTACCTCAGTACGTACTTCGACCGGTGCAACTCCTTTTTATCTTGTTTATGGCATGGAAGATGTACTCCCTGTTGAATTAGATATTCCATCACTTTGAGTCCTCATAGAAACCAAGCTTGAAGAATCAGAGTGGGTCCAAACACGACTTGATCAACTCAATATCATTGAAGAAAAATGCTTGACAACTTTGTGCCACAACCAATTATATCAAAAGAGGATAAAGAAAGCATTCGACAAAAAGTTCATCCTCGAGTGTTCCAAGAAGGGGATCTAGTCCTCAAGAAGATTCTGCTACCCCATCTAGATTCACTCGGAAAATAGACACCCAACTACGAAGGTCCATACGTGGTCAAAATAACATTCTTAGGAGGAGCTATTATCCTTACAACAATGGATGGGGAAGAACTATCACACCCTCCGAATTTTGACGCAGTCAAAAAATAATATGTTTAAAAATCCCGCTAAGTCAAAAACCCGAAAGGGCGACTTAGGCAAAAAGAGGCGTCCCAGTGGATTGAAAACCCTAAAGGGAGATCCAGGCAAAAATTAGCGACATATAGACAAAAACACCATCCTGGTGGATTAAAAACCCGAAAGGGAGATCCAGCCAAAAGTTAGGGATTTTATTCAAAAAATAAACAAACATATTGCAATTCGAGGAATTATTATATCTACAACTACGAAGGGGAAGAATTAATCTAATTATCTTTCTCATAAGCAAGGGGATTGGAATTATCAAAAGACATTGGAGAAATAGCAATATCGAATATCATTTTTATTGTCATTTTCAGTTTTGTTTAGCTTTTTATAATTACCTATTTTAGGAATTGCATCTTGTACTCTGGCCTATTCAAAGGCATTTTCATTAACAAAATAATTTATTTTTTAAATCGTTTCCAATTGTGTTTTTCTTTTTTCCGACTTGTTTGCAAAATACTACGACATTTCTTGTAAACACTGCATTGAAACTACTTCGGGTACATGACAAAATAAAAAGCATTTAACGAACATCAAAAAGACACTTTGGTTATAAAAATGTAAAAAGAAATCCACGACTACGCCCACGATACAATCATCAAAATCACATTGACATTGTCCACAACAATATATCAAAATACAAGTCGACTTGAAATACCGCAACAAAACAACAGACAACATTGGGGAGTCAGTGAACCTGAAAAACCGATTATCCAAATGAGCGAGTTTATCAAAAACATTCATAATACTTGGTGCATATACATACAAAATGCATATCAATAACATTATCATTGAGCATCATACATAAACATATCAATCATACATTGCATTTCGGATTACAGAGGCCCATGAATAATGCGAGAAACCTCAAGGCCTATTTTACCAGCTAAGCTAATTAACCTATGTGAATTACAAATTCAAATCTTAGCATTTTTCACTATTGACAATACCTCGGTTGAGAACAGACACAACATTTAGAGGTAATGTAAACCAAAATCACACTAGGCGGAATATCTATGAATCATATCCTTGGCCTAGTTATTCAATTTTCAAAATATCAAAATTCAAATTCAAATTTTCAAACTCGCATTATTTATCCCTTAGGTTGTGATAAATATACAAGTCTGCAATACAACTCGCTATGTTAGTCCCGAAGCTTTAGCTAGTTTGTTTTCAGACCTTTTTTCGACTCTATTGGTTTAGTCCTTTGGCATAAATAGAGTTGATACCCGTATTATCTACCCCCTAGGTAGTGGTAGATATGAAAATCGGATAAAACTTTAAGCTCCTGAGCAATGATAGGCTATTTTCCAAATTTTCAATCTTATTGGTTTAGTCCCTTGGCATAAATACGATTGATATCGCGTCGTTTAACACATAGGTTGTGATAAATGTTGCAAATTTATGTTTCAGCTTACTATGTTAGTCTCAAAGCTTTAGTAAGTTTGTTATCATATCTTTTTCAACTCCATTGGTTTAGTCCCTTGGCATAAAAGGAGTTGGTACCCGCGTTACTTACCCCATAGGTTATGGTAAGAATGTGGAATCTATGATAGCATTCCTTCTCATATCTATTAATTTTATCCCTTGGGAGAAAATGGATAGGTGAATCCATGCTCTAGGCTTTGATGAGTTAGTTGCGTCATCCTTGCCCTTTTTACTTTTTGGTTTATTGTACAGTTTATCTTTCAAAAGTTTTTGGTCAAAATTCGGGGTCTTCTATTATATAATAACCCTCTGATCCGAATATGCAAGAAATTCGTATTCTCGCACCCTTCAATCAGAGAGCAATTAAATAGGGACATATGTCATACCTCAAATTTTCCCACCTTGGTGTTAACAATTAAAATTTATTTTTTACTAGATCTATTAGGTCATTTTCATACTAATTTTTGGATTATTACATTCATTTAAAATTATTCTTATTATGCTAAGTATTTATTCATATAGAAAAGTCAAATGGGATTTTTATTTTATTATTGTCACCTTTTTTAAAAATTAGGTTTATCATCCAAAATTGATGATGGCCCATTTAAGAGGCTCATAATCAAATTTGTTTAATAAAAGTTGATTAATTAGTTAAAGACCAATGTTTTTATTTTATTTATATTATTATCATTTTTTCTGTTTGGTTGACTAAGTCAACGCCCTTCTAAATTGTTTATTCTTTATATTTTTTGTGTCCTTTATTTTTATAAAAAATATATATGTATATTGGATTGACCCAGTAAGTACGAAGTGCGTCTAAGAAGGGGGGGGGGGGGGGGGGGGGGGGGTGAATTAGGTACTTTAAAATTTTTCTGGTTTTAGTGATGATGAATATTATTTTTCTGGTTTATGGTGGGTTTATGAAAGAGTAAAATGCAGAAAAATAAAGAGACACAAGCGATATATCATGGTTCCCCTCACAGTCCGAGAGTACTCCAGACCCCTTTCAACGTGAAAGAGATTTCTTTATAGTTGGCAAACTTAAATAAGAACTACCAAAACCAAGAACAATCCTCTTGGACCAAGAACAATCCTCTTGGATTTTCACTATGTCAACAATGAGAACAATCCTCTCAAGGTGACCTTACTTGAATTCAACAATCCTGGAAAAATAAGATTACAAAACCACTTGAACTTATTTTCAACAATCCTGAAAAATAAGAAAGTGTATAGCAATATTTGATTGATAGAGTTTGTAGTGCAATAATCACTTTGAGTGATTTTATCAATGACTTGATCTTCTCTTCCAATAACAATAATATACAATGATTCAATATTATAGAATGCTCAAAGTTTTATGTTTAACAATATATGAAAATGTGCAGAAAAACTTTGTGTATGAAAGTGAAGAGAAAGCTTGAGTTTTGATATTTTAAAATTCAGAAACTATTGATTGGAAGAGGTACAAAATGATTTTGAAAATTTAGTATTTATATGTTCATAGCACCTCTTTGAAATAGCATAAATTTCTGCAAATGAATCACGAACAATTGCCAAGTTTCAATGAAAAGTTTCCATAAAATGGTGTTATGAAAAGGTATATTCAAAGCTGCTGATTTTCAAAAACGTTCAGCATGCAATCGATTGCACCCTTGTGTAAATCGATTGCACGGGTTTTAACAGCTAAAAAATTCAAATATTTTCAGTGAACAATCGATTGCACATGTGTGTAAATTGATTGCACTTTAAAACAATAGCAAAATTTGATAGGGAGAAATCGATTGCACAAACATGTAAATCGATTGCACTTAGAAACAGTAGCTAATATTTTGAAAACGTGAAGCATGCGATCGATTGCATCAACATACAAATCGATTGCACCCAAGTGAAAATTGAATTTTTGCTTAGAAAACTTGAGAAAAAGTCTGGACAAGATAAGAACACTTCTTTTGGTCATTGAGCATCTAAGACTTAAGTTCATAGCAAGAATTGTTATTATACCTTATGAAATTTGCTAAGAGCTTGAACCAAAGACTTTTATCCATTTATGCTTTTAGCTTGATCAACATCTTTGTCTTCTTGCCAATAAAGTTTGTCTTCATCACAACAAAATGCATTGAGAATCATTTGAGAAGCTTGATATTACAGACCCGAGGTCAACATTGGTGGGTTTTATTATTATAATAATTATTATTTATTATTAAATTATTATTTTGTAAGTTGACTAAGTCAACTAGGATTTTGAATCCTTTGTCACTAAGATGCACCCAGATCATGTGCTTGTTCACTAAGCTAATCCCAGAAGCCCAAAGATACAGAGTTTTGAATCAATTTTTTTTTTGAATAATTTGAGAATCAAAGATTGAATTTACTGATTAAATTGGATAGATACGCATAAGAGTCTAGATACATTCAAAATCAAACCTAGTTCCTAATTTACAAATCAAATCAATTACAGAATTAATCTATCTTAAATTAAAATTGTAACAACAATCAAGCATAAATATATTTCCTAATTCAACTAATCCTAAAGCCTATAAATCCCTAAGCCTAAAACAGAATTGAGGACCGGAAACTAAAGAGAAGAAGAAGGAGAAAGAATTAGGGATTAAAGCCTACGTCTTGAAGTTACAACCCCCACGAACTAGTGTACCTGTGAACGGAAACATAGAAAGAGGTTCGAGGGGAGAAATCAAATAGGAATTGAAAGGAGATTACGAGAAGAATCATTGCATGGACGGTAAGCCTGAAATTTAGCTTAGGGTTATTGATTGTTGTTGTTGCGGTTGATGCTTGTCTGTGTGATAAATGGGGTTTAATTTGGGATTTCTAAAAATTTAGGGTTTAGGGTTAGGTTTTGGGTTCATTGGGGTTAGGGTTCTTTGTACATAGGGTTAAGGTTCATAGCTTCATGCTAGGGTTCTTAGAGCTCTTCAGGTTTCTTGGCAGAAGATGAGGTTCTCGGTGAACCTTCATCTCTCACGGCATCCTTGACGGCTATCCACGATGGTCCTCACTTAGGGTTCTAAAATTTTTGGGTTTGGTTGAATGTTCTGGTTGATCTTCAACCGGAAACTGGAAATCCCAGGGCATTTTAGGATGGCTCAGCCAAAGGGGCGATTTTCGGTGAGTATGTTGGTTGAGAGCGTTGGAGATGAGAGCGAATAGAGAGAGAAATAAATATAACAAATGATGTTTTTTTTGAAGCAATTTTGCTAAATACCCCCTCTGTTGTCTGCTAGATTGATGACGTGTGGCCATTCACTAGCCACACGATTGAAGGACCATTGACTGGTCTCAGTACTCGCTAGTGCACCATATGTTGCAGTCGACTTCCAATCTAAGCCATCTATTTGCTACACTTATCATCAATGCTCCAGGATTAACTCCTGAGATCCCTTTGATCAAATCAAACGTCTCTTGCTTCACAACGCACCGTAACCTCCCTGAATCAACTATACAAAGTCCAAGCGAACTTCAAAACAATTTGTTGGATTTGGCCCAACATTAATCGCAATCCCAAATTTACTTAGCTGAAGAAAAATACACCCCCTTTTTTATTTGTATAATTTACTTTTTTTGGTTTATTTATTTATTTATTTTCTTTATTTATTAATTTATAATTTTTTGTACTAAAATAACTAAAAATATTTCTTTTCCTAATTAAATATATAAATATTTAATTTAATTTATAATTAGATTAACTTTTTCCCTTTAGAAAAATAATAAATCCTTTATATATAATACTAATAATTATTATTATTATTTCACATTAACTTAATTTATTTTCTAAAAATACTAACTTAGCTATTTTTCTAAACTTTTACTAACTTTAAATATTTTTTATTTACTTATTCAAATACGTGTTTTCATTCCTATTTTAAAAATTAGGTTAAACATTAAAATAGCTAATCAATTTAAAATTATTATTTTTACTAACATAATAAAAATTCGAGATATTTTAAATAAAAAAAAATTATCAAATTATCTTAAAATCAAAACTTCGAACTGCGTCTACGATCACTCAATTTTCAAACTCAGACAAAGCTCAAAAGATCATTCGAAAATAATTCTCGCAATCCTATAAAAAAAATTAACCAAACACACACGAACTACGAAATGGACTCTGATTTCTTCGCAAGAGGATACATAGGCACGCGGTTCAAAAACCAAGGCGAGTCCCCTAACTAAAAAATCAAATATTTTCTTATACATGTGACAATAGCATAATTTAAGTAGAAAATTCCTAATAAGTCCTAAATCTAAAGAGGGTCCCCTTGAGTACAAGGGAGATAAAAGGTCTCTAACATCTTCCCTTTACCTAATCAACTCTCGGACCTAGAAATATCTGAGAAATTAAGATTATTCGTTCCTTTTCCGTCCTTAAGACAAAAATTTGTGGTGGCGACTCTTGTATTTTTTGCCGGTTACGACACTTTGATTGACAGTTTTGATGAAAGAATTGAACATTATATGTTCTAAGCTTCATGTTCTTTAGTGTGACAGCCAGAGTACAATGTACATTGCATCCAATCCGGTGTTTCATGAACGTACCAAGCACCTAGAGATCAATTGTCACATGGTCCGAGAGAAACTTCAACAAGGCTTACTTCGACTTCTTCCCATATCTACTCATGAGCAGCTTGCGGATTTCTTAACTAAAGCACTATCAATATCAACTTTCAACAAGTTTGTTTCCAAGCTTGACATGATCAACATTCACCATGCTTAATTTGAGAGAGGCAGTTAAGATTAGCTATTTTAATCTCTTGATTAGATTAGTTAATTACATATGTTGATTGTCCAATAGTTAATTAGTTGATTATTGGTTGTTAGATATAGTTACCTGGCTTCTGATTGGTTAGTTAGGAGATAAGTGAGCTTTACTTTTCCCTCCATTCTTTTTAGTTCAAATTGTACAATATATAAAGACTCAAAGTTCTTCTTGAGTTCAGTATGGAGCATAACAACAATTTGCCATCTTTCTCTTCTTCTCTTTTATATTTCTATGCTGAAAATGCTTCATCATAATAAAATATGCGTCCAAAACCATATCCCATCTAAAAATGTATCATGTTCGTACGCATGAATTTGTTACTAGTTGAAATTAAAACATAGGAATTTCCTTGATAAGAATTATCTTGCAATGCAGTTGCAGTTTCAGATGATTCAGTAACAGAGCTACTATTCATTTCATGTTCTTGTTGAATCACTAACCAAAAAAGCCTTATTGTAAATATCAGGGTGTTCATCAACATGATTTGGAATTTGGAATGTGAGAAATGCTCATTTAGCCGTTTCAAAAACCTAATTACATAATCCTACTCTCTATAGGTATTGACCGAATCAATTGCACCACAAGTACATGAAATTGAGCATTTACATGATGGAAGAGGTCAATAATATTCCAATTCGTCCCAATCAACTTTCAATTCAGTGAAATAATCAAATACTTCAAGAGTACCTTGGCGAAAACGATAAAGATCCTCTTGAATATCTAATATGCAAAAGATATCGATCCATAACGTCGATTTTACAATTGATCATGAAATAGATAGTTGAATCCATGCGAGAACCATTGTATTGGAACGAATCAACTATGTGTACAAAGGATCTAAAACTGAGGGTTTTAAGAAAGTATCATCAATGAATTTGTCTTTTCTTTTCGAAATCAATGTGATTTGCATCGATCGAGCGAAAAGGTGATAATTTTTGTTGTCTAAGAGAGGAGCAACAAGAATCAATGTTGGAATTTCATTTGGATGCAGATAGAAAGGACTGGCAGAGTTTGTTGCGACATAGAATTCACTCGGTTGAAGAAACATGTTGATAACGAAGGATTCACTCGGTTGAAGAAACATCTCTTTCATTATGAATTGTTGTGAATATATGCAAATTAAGAGGAAGCTGTACATTAAAAACAGAATCAAAACTAACTATATGCTGGTATAAAAAAAAATAACTAACTGGTAACTATGTTGGTTATGTTGATACATTTCCAAAACAATTAGAACAATAATCAATGAACTCAAATACTTGAAATCAGTTGTTAAAGAAATCAGAAGGGAAGAATTGGATATGACTGAGGAATTTAGAGCCACAATTTATGACTACCTTCTACTTATCATGCTTTATGTAAAACTTACTTCAATGTTGTAAGTCATGATACATAATTAGACATAATTCTGGAATTTTAAACCTGAAAATGTATAGCCAATTGAATATTCAAAACAATATATTTTATAGCAGGCAAAAATAGCAAGCAAGCAGGCCAAAACTAAACTGGAGATGCAGGGGATTGAACCCTGTACCTCTTGCATGCAAATTTGAGCTACATCCCCATGTTTATAAAATTGGTCAGACAAGTGGAGTTATTTCTTAAAAGAAAACTGTGTTGCTACAGCCAACACTGACAATCATTTTTAAACAAGCTAAATAAATAACATGACTAACAAATAACAACTTGCCCAACAAATAGAAAGACAAAGACAAATCTCAACTTGCCTCCAACTCAAGGACAATTATGCGGAACAATACTTTCTGCCGGCTTAGGGAGGCATTGGAATCAAAAGAGCAGGTGTGACCAAATAAATACTTGTTCATAAACATTTTTTATTTTTCTTAGTTCTTGATTACTCCAACCAAATACAAAAAGTCAATGAGAATTTTTATTTATAATTTTTAGTAGATTAAAGTTGTTTGTATATATGTTAGAATACATTATAATATAATATATTTAATATTATGTTATTATTAGTATATATGCATTTGTTTCTTTGCCCGGCTGTATGGTAAAGATAACAAGGCTTCAACAACAGAGCCTATGATGATGTCAAAGTAAGGAAGTCAACGAACAATAATAGCCTTGTAAAAACCATTTTGTTCCTATGAATTTGATCGGTCTTATTGATGGACAAGGACATTAATTTCAAACATAGGACAAACTGAATATGATGAGAGGGCATAAAACAAAACAGAAAATGTACAAGGACATTATGGTTAAGAAAAGTGCTCAATAATGTTTATGCTGATGATATGAGTTCCGGTCCGGAACCGTAATGGTTGGGTTTTGTTAAAAATTAGTATTTATTTTAATATCTTAAATACTATTTAAATAAATAAGTGGTTCCTTGTGATGCTTTTGCACCCTGTCCTTATATATAGACACTGGCTACTAGGATATGACACACTATGTTTCTTGACCATGGCTCTGTTAATCCTCTACTTTGCATATCTTTTCTCCTTTGTCTTCTTAACCCTTATGGTTCAAAAGATAAGAAAGAAGAAAAGTTATTCAACTTATAACATACCACCAGGACCTAAAAAGCTACCTATCATAGGAAATATACACAATCTGCTAAGCTCTCAACCTCATCGAAAATTAAGAGATTTGGCCAAAAAATATGGACCTGTGATGCATCTTCAACTTGGAGAGGTTTCTACTATTGTCATTTCATCGCCCGAATTTGCCAAAGAGGTGATGAAAACCCATGATATTAACTTTGCAACAAGGCCTCGACTCCTAGCTACTGAAATAATGGCTTACAATTCCACAAATATAGCTTTTGCTCCATATGGTAATTACTGGAGACAGCTACGAAAAATCTGCACATTGGAGCTTTTAAGCCTAAAAAGGGTCAACTCATACCAACCAATTAGAGAAGATGTGCTTTCCAATCTTGTCAAATGGATTGCCTCACAGAATGGATCGCCAATCAATCTCACTGAAGCTTTGATTTCTTCAATATACACTATTGTTTCGAGGTCCGCCTTTGGCAATAAATGCAAAGGCCAAGAAAATTTTATATCAGTGGTAAAACAATCGATAAAGGTTGCAGCAGGTTTTGACTTGGGAGATTTGTTTCCTTCTGCTAAATGGCTACAACATGTTACTGGTTTGAGGCCTAAGCTTGAGAGGTTTCATCGCCAAACTGACCAGATATTAGAAAACATCATCAATGAACATAAAGAGGCAAAGTACACAAGAGCCAAAGACGATCAAGGTGAAGTAGAAGAAGATCTGGTAGACGTTCTCTTAAAATATGAGGATGGTAGCGACAAGGATTTTTCTTTAACAAAAAACAATATCAAGGCCATAATCCAGGTAAGTGTATTAACCTCTTCAAAATACTTTGAAGAAGAAAAACATGTTTACTCTGTAGCTCCGCATGAAATATTTGTAGCTCTGAAATATTCAGCACATGATTTCTCTACTTTGTAGCATTGAATTATATCTACAAGTTCTCTTCTTAAGTACTTGAAACATTCTTGGATTAGGTTGGCCTTATTGAGAGCTACTTTTCAGGATATTTTTGGTGCTGGAGGTGACACATCATCAAGCACCATAGATTGGGCAATGGCAGAAATGATAAGGGATCCAAGAATAATGAAGAAAGCACAAAATGAGGTGAGAGATGTTTTCAAAATGAAAGGAAGAGTTGTTGAAAATCACATCAACGAATTAAATTATTTGAAATCAGTTGTCAAAGAAACCCTGAGGTTACACCCACCAGTACCACTTTTGTTACCAAGAGAATGTGGTCAAGCATGTGAGATAAATGGTTATCACATACCGATTAAGACTAAGGTGATAGTCAATGCTTGGGCAATTGCCAGAGATCCAAACTATTGGACAGCACCAGAGAGGTTTTATCCGGAGAGATTCATTGACAGCACCATCGACTATAAAGGGAGTAATTTTGAGTACATTCCTTTTGGTTCTGGAAGAAGAATATGCCCAGGGATCACATTTGGTTTGAGAAATATTGAGCTAGCCCTTGCAATGTTGTTGTATCATTTTGACTGGAAGCTACCCAGTGGAACCAAAAGTGAAGAATTGAACATGACAGAGCAATTTGGAGTCTCTATGAGAAGAAAAGATGATCTTTTACTGTCTCCTTTTGTTAATCATCCTTTGAATGTCAAGTGAGATTCACATGAGGAAACTGAAACCTATTATAAGAGTTAAATAAATGAAGATTATGCAATTTAACCATGTTTTCTTGATTGTATTTTTGGGTTACTTTCTAGATTGCATTTAGTCTGGTATAGTTTTCATTTATTCTTAATTAAATCTTAAATTAAGCAATTCAAATCAGCCCCCAAATTTTCAATAACTAGCAAATTTTCAAATACCCTTTATAAAATACTACTCTAAACCAATTTATGTTTCATAGGTCATAAATGTGATTTCCCCATGTCATGAAACTAACATGTGATCATCAGTGATTCATTTAACTACTGCATTTCATCGAACACATCAAAAGCAACTTTGTGAACTATAAAAATGATCATTGATAATTACAACGAAAACAAAAACACCAAAAAGACATTGAAATTGAACAGAGCAAAAGAAGTTACAGGGTGTACTTACAAAAATACGTGATCATAGCCTGATTCATTTAACTGTGTCTTTTCATCGAACACCTTAGAAGCAGCTTTGTGAAGTATAAAAAATGATAATTGATAATTACAACGAATTCAAAAATATCAAAAAACACATTGCGATCGAACAGAGCAAAGAAAGTTACAGGGTGTACTTATAGAAATACATGATCATTAGTGATTCATTTAATTGGCACATTTCATCAAACATCTCAGAAGCAGCTTTGTGAACTACATTAAAAAAACAGGGTCTGAATTGTATTTGTACTCATTTTTTGTCAGCTTATAATATCAGGGTCTGTATTTGTACTCTCTCTTTAATTCACATTTAATGCAATAATTTATTATTTTTTTAAAATTATTATCAATATTGTTGTATTAATGTCGGTATCGTGTGTTCGTGGTGTTGTATGTAACATGAAATTAATTTAATAATGCAGTAAGGAAATGAAGTGAAATAGAATATAACTTCTTCTATTGTTTTAGAACTTTATGGAGTGGTACATGTTCTTATTCTTTTGTTTATAAAATAAAAAATTATAGTTATTTTCTTCCATTTTTTTCTTATTTAAAAAACTGTTATATAAAATAAAAATATTATTTTTAATTTAAATGGCGGAAAATTTTGTTTTATGGGCATGAAGAATAGATATTGATTTTATGGAGTAATTTAGAACTAGTGGATGGAGTCTTAGCTTTTAGAACATACAATTACATAATTGATGAACAATAAGTATTTGAAAAAGGAGAGTGACAGAAAAGAGAATTAAAGAAAGAGTAATTAAATGTGAGATTAATTATTGCATTAACTTTCAACAATTCACATTATATGAAATGGGGATGCCTCTAAAACATTTATACAAGTTATGTCTAACTATTGGAATCTAAAACAAAACCTTAAAACACAAGAAAAGCTGAAAACTCATGCGAGTAACCGGTTATCACATCTTGTTAATCGGTTACCACTAAAATAGAAAAAACAATACAAACAATTGTAATCGATTAACGTGTTTGCATAACCGGTTACTACAACTCAAAACAACTTTTTTCAGGTCCCAGAAGTGTTTAATCTCTAGTTGTAATCGGTTACACCTCTGTGTTAATCGGTTACAACACTTGAATTATTGAATTTCAATTAACACGCCACCTTAATTCAAGTGCTTCAAATCTTTCATGCTCATGCTCATCTTCAACTTCTTAAACACGTTATTTGTGACTCCCTTAGTCAACAAATCAGCAACTTGGTCCTCACTTCTGCAATATCCCAATCTTAAATTGCCTTCACTAACAAACTCCCTCAAGTAGTGAAACTTCATCTCAATACGTGTGTTCCTCCCATGTGCAATTGGGTTCTTAGCAAAACTAATAGCTGAAACATTATCAACCGAGAGTGTGACAATCTCACACCCATTGTTGTTCAACTCTATCAATAGATTTATTAGCCACACGACTTGACACGCACATAACAAAGTGATAATATACTCGGCCTCACAAGATGAGATTGCAATTATTGGTTCCTTCTTCGAACACC